AAACACACTTTTTAAGTATGACTGAGTCATTGTGAGAAAACACACTTTTAAAGTATGACTGAGTCATTGTGAGAAAACACACTTTTTTAAGTATGACTGAGTCATTGTGAGAAAACACACTTTTTAAAGTATGACTGAGTCATTGTGAGAAAACACACTTTTTTAAGTATGACTGAGTCATTGTGAGAAAACACTTTTTTAAGTATGACTGAGTCATTGTGAGAAAACACATATTTTTAAGTATGACTGAGTCATTGTGAGAAAACACACTTTTTAAAGTATAAGATGTATCTCATTCCACGTTACAGAAGATTTGGTTTAACAAAAGGCAAACGTTCTTGGAATTGGATTTCTAGGCAGTGTTGTTTCTAAACAAATTGAAAACTCTCCTATGATACGTTCAGTGATCTGACTAACGAATAATACCATCTCTGTAGATTAGAAATAAAAACTTATCCAAACTAACTAACGATAATCTGTATTCATTTTATACAACTGAACTTGAAGACAAGACGTTTTAATTCCTTCTCGTTTTTTTATGAATTGTGTTTCAGTGAAGACGAGTTTACGTTTATTAAGTTTGTTTAAACGGAGTCTGACAGTCTAATAAAAAGAATAGCGAGATTCTCTATGGATTATCTGACTTTTAAAAACTGACTCTAAATAGTTTGTTATTCTAACAGTTTGAAATGTATATATATAACTTTATTTTACCATATAAAAACACTGTCTGTGTTTAATTCGACGGATTACTGATTGCCGGACTATGAAATGTACCAGATACTTCAGGAGAACTGTTCGTAAATTGAGTGACGTAACTAAATAGTTATATATAGGTATCTGTTCTTATGTGTTGTGTAGGAAATCTAACCCTGACATTAAGGATTTCATGGAGAGAAACGGGATGACAAAGATCAGCGAAGTAGAACAATATTATGTAGACAGAACCCTGGCGAATGTTAAGTCAATGGGTTACAAGTACATGATCTGGCAAGATCCTATTGATAACGGTGTTAAGGTAACTTTTGTTGTTTAATTTGAACAATTCCTTAACATAGTTAAATCTGTAGAAATGGTAATACGTGATCTGGCAAGATCCTATTGATAACGGTGTTAAGGTAACTTTTTTGTTTAATTTGAACAAATTCATTACCATAGTTAAATCTGTAGAAATGGTAATACGTGATCTGGCAAGATCCTATTGATAACGGTGTTAAGGTAACTTTTGTTGTTTAATTTGAACAAATTCATTACCATAGTTAAATCTGTAGAAATGGTAATACGTGATCTGGCAAGATCCTATTGATAACGGTGTTAAGTTAACTTTTTTTGTTTAATTTGAACAAATTCATTACCATAGTTAAATCTGTAGAAATGGTAATACTTATAGTTGGTAAGATGATTAAATTTAATTAATAATTTCCAGTATAATTAATTAAAGAAGGTTTACTTTATTTCTTTATTCAATGATTATGTAATAGGCTGCCGAAGATACCATTGTTCAGGTTTGGAAAGACAAGTACTTGGACTCCAAGTTAGATTACTGGTACAACTACATTAAAGATATCGCTGCTAAAAATTATAGCATGGTGCTCTCTGCCCCATGGTACCTAAACTACATCAGCTACGGACAAAGCTGGAAGAAGTATTACGAAGCAGACCCCCGGGGTTTTACAGGTATGGAAAACACGAATATCAGAAACACCATATTTCCTTAAACCGAAGTAATATTTCACCACTAACTAACCGTCTGTTTAACACTAAATTCAATAATGTAATCACGAACCTACTAACTAGTCAAAAAATGTACATTTAAAGTATTTACCAATCAGCAGTTAGCCATTTCAGCGAAGCCCTGCCCACTTTTGTAACTTTCTAATGAGTGCTGCAGAAAATGTGTATCACGCATGTTAACGAAAGTATTTGATATTGTTTGTTTAAGTTCACGTTACTTGTGCTGTGCCCACCCAGGGATCGAACCCAAATTTTTGTGTTATAAGCTCTCAAGCCGAGTCACAGGGGGTCATTAAATGTTTGAAGGTATTAACCATTGAATTTCATTGTTGTTGTTGATTCGGCGCAAAGCTACACAATGGATTATCAGTGCTCTGTTCGCTGAGGGGGAATTGAAACCCAGATTTTAGCGTTGTAAGTACGTAAACTTACCACTGAGCCACTGAGGGACATCGAATTCCGTCTGTTTTTGTGGTTAATTCATATCTGAGTGTTTGGTAAACATTACTGAAGAATGATACACAGGAATAACCATAAAACGGGCAACAATATTGTGTCTTAACTAACAAAATTACATCAACGATTCTGTTTTACATTTTATCTTTAAATATATATTGAAAAGTTGGTGTTTCTCCTATTGTAACTTACTCAGTAATATAGCATAGATTATAGCTAAAAATGACATTGCTTGTACCACATAATACTAACTACATGTAATCCGAGACCTAAAAATGGCATTGCTTGTACCACATAATACTAACTACATGTAATCCGAGACCTAAAAATGGCATTGCTTGTACCACATAATACTAACTACATGTAATCCGAGACAAAACATTGAAAAATAAACGAATGTACAATAAGCATATCCTAGTAATGAATTATAAATAACATTTACTGTATAAAAAAAGAAAAAACAAGGAGTAGAAAAACATCCGCCCTTGCTTAAGAGTTTCGACGTGTAATTTTGTAAGATTTTACAGTCTTGGCCCAAATGTTTACATACTGTTCTACATTGATGTTATTGTCTACATGCATGGAGTAGTTATTGAGTAGTAACAGAGAAGGTAGCATGTTATTGGACAAACATGTACGAGTTGTTATTCTGGTCTGTATAAGTTGTTTTGATCATTTGTTAGTCAAAACACGCATATACACCTATTTTGTATAAAACGGTGTACTTTTGGTATAATCTCTTTAGAAACAGATCAAAGCTTTGTTCAGACAATTTCTCTGTACTTGGTGAAGAGGCATGCCTGGTCACGTGCCAGAAGTTATAGGGCATGAAATCGTTCGACTGTCCAGAAATGGTATGAAGCAAACGGACGTTGTCAGAACAGTTGAGTACCCCCAGTGTACTGTATCAGGAATCCTGAAACGTCATCGGACTACAGGAAACCTTGTTCAAGGAAAGTCTACTGGTAGACGCCGAAAAACTACTGCCCGAGATGACCGTGTTTTGATCAAGTTAACATGTCAAGGTCGAAAGAAGTCTTGCAACACCTTATGACAGAAATGGCATGAACACATTCATTCCAGGGTATCCATTAGAACGGTGAATAGGACCAAAAACAATGATATTTTGCAAGAAGTGCTATCTGCAAATCGATATTAACCAGAATTCACCGTGTTACTTGGACAAGACAGCATGCTAACTTACAGTTAGGACACTGGTGACATGTCATCTTTTCAGATGA